TGTAAATTCGTTCAGAGTGCGGCCATAACTTATCATCACTCAGTATCCTCCATCTTATGATGTGTTTAATGCAGATGGTATTGGTCTTTATTTCCGGGCATTACCAGGACACATCATATTCATTTTATTTTGTTGGTCTTTCGATTCATTGTCTCATTCGGGTAATGGACAAGAAAATCTTCCACTAAAAATTAGTTCAATTAACGGCGATTAACGTACATTGATATATTTTGTTTTCACTATTCATAATGAAGGTATTTTTTTGAGCAATCCGAATAAAATGAAGATATTCCACAACCAATCACTTTGAAATTTTTAATTTTTGTTGTTTAAACTATGATTTATTTTCTTAGATTTTTTTTTACTGGCTTATTTACCGTGGATAATAATAGGTGCATTTTTATTAAATAGGAACCTTCATAATAATATATAATATGTATCTATTTAAATATATTTTAGGTTGATTGACGAGTCTCCAAGGTGGTTGTGGGGCCAAGGAAGAAAAGAAGAAGCAATTAAAATTATACAAAAAGCATTGAAAACAAATAATAACACAATGCCAATTATATTAGAAAAAGAACAAATGGTGTCATTAAATAATGATGAACCCGTCAAAGAAAATAATCAAAATCGATCGTATTCGATATTAGATTTGTTCAAGACACCAAACCTGAGAAATAATACAATCAATGTTTGTCTTTATTGGTAATKCACTATAATTTAATTTAAATATTAATTACATTATATTTTATATGTATACACAATCAGATAACACGTGTGTCAGTTAGTTGTAATAGATTTTGTTTAGTTATTGAAAGCTATATCATATACTCGGTAATTGATACTTAATAGTTGGTTATAGGTACTTACCTAAGAAAAAGAACTACCTATTCCATAAACTTAAAAATTATAACTCTGAATTATTAATGATTTAAATTTTATTACAATATTTTAGGTTTGCTGCTAGTTTTGGGTACTATGGTATTTCACTCCGAACCGGAAATCTACGAGGGAACCCATATTTTATGCTTTTTGTCATGGCAGCTGTGGAAATCCCTAGTTATATATTTGTAACATTATCAATGGATCGTGTGGGAAGACGATTTCTTAGCAGTTCAATGATGATTGTCGGTGGAGCTGCTTTGCTTATTTCCGCATTTTTCCCTTCAGGTATAAATTAATTTTAACCATCAATTTCTGTAAGTATACCATCAATATAAAAAAAAATAATTATGTAATTTTAGATCCATTATCACAATCGATATCTACTGGTATTGTGTTCCTTGGAAAGTTTTGCATAGCTGGAGCTTTTGCTATTGTATACAATTATACTGTAGAACGTTTCCCCACTGTGGTCCGAAACACCGCTATTGGACTTGGAAGCATGTTCGCGCGTTTAGCTGGCGGTTTTACTCCTTTAGTTACCTTACTGGTTAGTTAAAATGCATATTTTAATGTTTAAAATTGATTTATTTAAATGCGAACAATTTTTATAGCTTTGAAACTGTACCTATAATATATTATAATAATAGAAACGATTTACAGGATGTATATGACTTAAGAGCGCCTGCTATTACGTTTGCTCTAGTGACTCTTGTATCTGGAATGTTGATTACTCTACTTCCAGAGACACTTAATTCAGTAATGCCACAAACCATGGAAGACGGTGAGGAATTTGGAAAAGGTGATACATGTTTTACTACTGGATGTTTTGGACGATCAAAAAAACCACAACCAAAACAAAAAGAAATACCTCTTGAAGAAAGTTACTAATTGTAAATCAAAAGAATAATTAGGCACTTTAGTAATCTAATGAGTAAAATATTTTTAACTTAAGCTATTTGTATGTAAATTGTTTTTTAAAGTTGTATATTTTGGAGATACATATTTTATTTACATTGTATATGAAATTTATTTTTTAATTCATTCGTTTTTATTCATCAATATCAGATTAGAATTTAAGAATAATTACATAAATGTTAACAAAAAATAGTTTGAATAGTTGATTTTTTAAATAATTAAAATAAAGCTTACATGCAGGTGATCAGAATAACTTATAATATTATCACGAATACAAATTTAAATTTAAAATGTGTGAACAAAGTACAAATTTTAAATAATAATTATCTATTCATAAGTCATAATATATATTGATGTAGTTAAAATTAATTTAAAATTTACGTAATAAATTTATATTTTTATAAGCAATAAATGATTGGTATTAAATATACGTACATGTCATACAAATAGTTTATTAATTCAACGATGAATTCAATTTTATATTCAGGTGTTTACTTTAAATCTTCGACATGTTGACTATTTATAGTACAAATTATTCTCGTATTTTTCTTAAGTTCCTATTATGTGTGAGACTTAATAAGAGTATATACATTATTTTTTAGTTTTTACAACTGATTAGTTGATGCCACTGATAAGGTAGTTGAGGTTTTTTACAAATGATGAATTAGATAAATAATCAATTTAGAGCGCGGATTTATATGCATTAAAAATCAATCGAATATGCGCTAAAAAATCTTAAATATGCATAAATATATGCACTAAAATATTAAAATATGCATGGAAAATAAAAAAAAAAAATTGCATAAAAAAATGTATTTTTGAAACATTTAATTAATACAATATATTATAAATAAAAATTATTGAACAATACTAAAAACACTTCTTTATTTTTTCCACTTTCACTATTTTCAGGTAGCTTTAATCTATATTATATAAAAAAAGGAATCAATTTATATCAAAAATGTCTCCTAAAATAAATGTACTTACCAATATTTTGATATTAATCGAAACTATAAAAATATATTTTTTTTTTTTATATTATAATTTAAAATAGTATATAAATTTAAAAAATTTCCAATAAAACAAAAAAAACATCAAAATATGCACTAAAAGATGAAATATGCAATTAAAATTGTAAAATAAACCCTTAAAATAGAAAAATGACGAAATATGCAAAAATATGCACTAACAAAGTTTCATTTTTTAGATCGTTATGTCATGAAACAAATTTTGTGCTCACTAAGCATATCAAACGATCAACCAGAATACAAATGCAAATGCATACAAATTCTCACTCTAATAATCATGAGTCATGAGTTTGAAGCAAAAAACACCATTTCATTATGTTGAGCTTCATTATGTAGAATAGTTGATTTTAAACTTATAGGTACACTATTTGCGTTGAAATGTCTTCTGGAGATACTAGGGCAGTGTTTGAAAATGTCATAAAATTTAAAATTGTGAAACATTTAATTAAATATATCAGCATTATAATATAGATGATAACTTACCTTCAGAATTTTATAATATTAGGGGAAACACAAGACAACTAAATATTATCTCAAAAGTATATAAATTATATTTAAATTTAGTATTTATAATTATTTATTTATAGTCTAATATACATATATAAACTACAAATAAGACGATACGTTGAACCCTTAAAAATATTATCCTCTAAGATAACTCAAAAATGATAAACATGATTTAGTTTGAATGCGTGAGTTAAATAGAGAAAAAAATATTAGACCMATATGGGTGACCAGGATGGGAAATTGCTGGACATATTAATAAATATGTTCTGATAGCAGAAATAGAGGATACTGTATTCCAACATAGTAAGAAAGAAATGGCATACAACTTAAGACGGTTATAAATATGTTTATGAAATTGTTTCGTTCCAGGTGGAATTAAAAGGCGATTTTTTTTTCAAAATTAATTTTTTTTTCTGTATCGTATTCTCATTTTGTAGGTAAAAGTTTAAAAAATAAATATAGTATATTTGTTTAGTATTATTATTAGATAAATGTCCATAATAAATAATTTGTACGTTACCTATACCTGTGAACCACCGCGAAACTAACTCGAGTGTAGTCGTCCGTCACAAGCAGATTGATCAAAACGACTGAACATTTATTACGGAAGACTTTTTTGAATTTAAAAACTGCAGCTTATCCCTAAATTTCACACATCCAGATTGATTGAATTATTTATCATTAGCGTTTGTCATCTAATGTCCTGTCTTTTTCAAAATTTTTTTTTTAATTGAATGTTTTAAGATAA